AGAGGCTTTGGCCCTGTATTACTTACGTATTCATCTGTTATTGGATTTTCTTAGATATTTGTATTAATAAACAGATATTACTGCTGAGGGGATGAATCTTTGAAAACTGTTAGTCCTTTCCGGCCCCGTGTGTGTGAAGACAAGTCCACATTTTAACACGTTTTCCAGCTTCATTAGCGTCTGGATGCACACTATAAACCAGGATGAGCCACAGTTCATCCTTTCACATCAGCTCAATAATTATGTCTTGGCCTCCTCATCCCCTCGATCAATGGTGAGTGGGAGCCGTCCGAGCATCGGGACAAAGGGGGCATCGATCACTTGAATAATTAAAGTGTGTGTGGTGATAAACCAGCTAACGACGGGTTGGTGCTGAAGGTGCGTCTCCTCGTGAAGCGTCATTCAGAGAGAAAAGGTCCACGTCGTCATGTGGACAGAAGCAGTCGGTGGTTGTAACGCCTCTTGAGAAAGATGTAAGCGTCATCTACTATAGTTTTATTTGGAAAAGATGAATTCAGGTGTTATGAAACGTTCTTTTTACGGGTAATGAGCCTCTCTTTTATTAATCTTCAATAGAGAAGTTTACTTTCTATTTCTTTCAAAGACTGGAAGCAGAAAGAACATATTCATCAAAAGCAAGAAAAGAAAATCCCCAAATCGATTTCTAAGCCGTTTTATTTGCATGCACATGTGTTGCGTTGCCTCTTAAAAGAGCTTCTTCACAGACGGACGCTCGGGGGGGGCGGTCACCAGTGACGCTGGGAGGGCATCGTCCACCTGCACTCGCTTCCTCCCTCCCCCAGAGACACGTGAGGGGAAAACAGTTTGACAACCATTAGTTAACCTTGAGTGGACGCTGCACTGTAACAAATTGCTGTAAATTTACGGTGCATTTCTAACGGTATCTTACAGTATGTCATAATAACTGTAACATACAGTTAAATTTCCATCCCTTGCTTGTAAATTAACGGCCAATGTCATGAATAAGCAGTTAAAGCAGTCAATTTTCGATAATAGCAGACTACCGTAATTAAACTGCATCTTACATATATTTTATGAAGTGATGGAAATACACATACAAGTGCAGTGAATCACAATCCATCTACATCTGTTGTAGGTTAACGTACGGAAGCCCATGTCAGCCACTGAAAAACAGGTCCTGTAGGTCATCATAATGAGATATGAGTATCTCATGAGATACGATGATGACTTTGACTTACAGGACATTACTGTACATGCAGCTGTCACTTTTATCCAAAACGCCCATGTTGTGACATAATTGTATGTGGAGTAATTGGGGGTCAGGTGTCTTGCTCAGGGACACTTCAACTGCACAGCACACCCTCCCTATCCCACGCGCCGCCTTTGCTGTCGTTTCAGTGGCCGGAATGTAAAGATTATAAATATTTGGATTATTCAAAGTGTTCATTGCTTAAAAGTCATTTGAGTGTTAATTGTGACCGACGGACCCTGAACGTGACGTCAGACGCGTAATCTCAGTTCATCCAGAACACCTGTCAGTGCAGTTCACACAAACATTCAAACATCGGAGGAGTTTCTCATTGCCTCGTCGCTCCAAGTAACGTTGGTAAGTGTTATTTGCTTAGCATGATTAACATGCTCCTTCCTTACATCTTGTTGTCTTCCTCAACTTTGTAATTTTAATATTTTACCAATGACAGTGTTTCTAAATATTTTATTTTGGTATGTTTTCCAGAGGCTCTGGATTAAGCACGCCAGCCGCTTGCTGCGGTCAATTGAAAGTGTTCCATAGCGTATTGTTGCAGTTAGTTTACCTTGTTCCTAATGATTTTATGATTCATTTTTTTATCATTGTATACATGCGGCATATTTTATGTTTTGATCTTGGTTACAAATGCCGAACATTTTTGTCTTAAAGGCATCTAATAAACTCCAACCACTACGACCGAAATGAGTTTGGTTGTCTTTCTTTATAACACAAAAACAGTAATCTTATGGTAAGAAACTGTAATCCAATATACGACAACATACCGTAAATTACGCTAGGGCACTGTAAATACAACAGTAAGTTTCTAGCGTCGACTGCCAGTAAATTGCAGTCAATTCACAGTAAAATTCGTTCAAGTTTACGGTAACATACAGTTATCCATTTTCCGGTAACATAGTGTAAAAGCATTTACGGAATTATACCTTTAAAATAATGGTAAATTCCTGGCGTCCAGTGGCGCTGAGGTATACGTAGAAATATAATGTATATATTAACAACGCTCAGCGACTGAAATGTGTTAAAGAAGCATAAATTACATCATGGGGTGTCTTGGGGAAAAATAATCTCATCAAGAAGTGAGGTTAAAGCCCCTCCAGCATCGCTGTGAAGTGACTGCAATAATCCAAAGCTGTCTGAGAGGTGCCGTCCGTGAGATGAGACAGACATTAGGCCTCGCCTGCTGACTTCACATTCTTTACAAGATGCAATCCTGTGAATATGTGAGGTGGGAAGCAAAAAAAACGGGCAGTGGAAATTACGAGTGAGAAACAAATGAGCTGACGGGGAGAGATAAGTGGTACGTGTAACACGGAGGGGGGGCGACGTACCGGAAATTAATCAAAAAGAAGCAAATCTTCCCGAGCGAATACACTCGGTGTAATTAAGAGAGAGAGATAGAACGATGCGAGGGGCATTTCTTAGAGTGTGAGCCGGTGTTTATTGGAAATATAATGGATTGGTGAGCCTCGACTAAGTCATTCAAAAATCTCATAACGTGACGTAGAATTCAGATTTCTCTTTTAGATAAGTGCTAGGATTTTCCTCTTGGTTTGCCTAGCTTAGCATAAAGGCTGGAAGCTAGCCTGACTGTGTCTAAAGGTCTAACCACCCCCCCTAAAGCACACTAAGTAGCACGAGAAGCTACTAGCATGGGGGAAATATATATAATAATAAATATTTTTTTAAGACGACTTTTAAAACCTTCTTTAGGAATCCAAACTAAGCTGCTTGCCATTTAGTTTCTCTGCTTCATGGATCAAGCTAGGTAGCTAGCTACAGCTAGCCATGAGGTTACGTCACCATACCTCATTCTGAAACAAAATAAGTGAGGAGAAACATTGTCCAGCTATAAAAGCCCCTAAAATCTCAAATCTGAGCGCTTAGAGACAAATTTCCACAAAAAAAAATCTAAGACACATGGTTTAAGTATTCTCCTAAAAACACAGCGAGCCTTCGATCTGTTGGCGCGGGTCAACTGGGGTCATTCTCGCGGCGGCGGGGCGCTGGCAGAGCGAGTGGGTGTGGGAGACTAATTGAGTGTCGGGGGCAGCGTGAATGAAGCCACTGTGGTAATCGTCTGGCTCAGCGGCGAGTGGGAGCCATCAGGGGCACTGAGTTGATGTGGCGCCGGGAAGAAGTTTCCCACCACGCCGCCGCCGGCTGTCTGCACGCGGAGGGGCTTCCGATGACGTCCCCGGGAAGAGGAATGCGTAGTCGGCGGGGTGAACATGTCAGGTGGAGCTCTTCTGGATCTGCCTCTCTATAGAGATCCGTTACACTGAACCAGCTCTCTTAACCTCCTTTATGGCATGAGTATCGGGCCTCAACCCCCCCTCACCTGGTTCACGTCGTTTCCACACTCTTGGCAGAGTGTTTAGTGAGCGATCTGAGGTCCATGAGAGACAAAAGTGGGCCGCGGCATCCAAATATGTGGGCTTTTTCCCGCCAATCATTAAACAGCATCGATATTTCTCTGAAAACAATGGATTCTATCACCATGTGTTAAGTGAAAAGCATTACTCACGTTACCCTGCTCGCTGAGAACACATCGTAACTTATAGCGTCTCAGTGAGGCGGATCTCCAACCCAACGTAAAGCCGTTGGTCAGCCGGGGGAACCGGTGTGGTCCGAAGAGCGGAGAGGATCATAGGAGGAGATTCGATCGGTCAAACAAACACAAGATATGAAAATAAAAGGACTCTTCAGGCCCACGAAGCACTTTCCTTTTCTAATCAGGTACGCTGCTCTCACACAATGACAAGAAAGGGGAAAATGGGAATAATCAGCTGTTTCTTGCAAATGTAAAAGAATTGAATTGAACCAGCAAACGACAACATTTACATGTGAGATTTGTTGCAGTTGAATTGGCCACATGTGTTGCATTACCACACATTTACCAAATAGCCAAGGACACAAATGTCTGTTGTACAGAAAGCGATGATTTATTTGAACAATGTCTCCCCCGGTGTAATGTTTTTAAATATATATATTATATTTATATTTCTGTTTTTTGCTTGACAATCAGTGCTACGAATTGTTTCTCCCTAAACTTAATGGTGCGTTAACCCATCGCCATTAACCATGGAGGTCAGAGGTCATGCAGCCCCATCTGATCTCCCTGCTTCTTCCTCAGTGGCACCATAAAAAAATCAATCTCAAACTTTTTGAAATATATCAATTTGGAGTTGGAGAAGAAGGAATTTGATGGAAATTGGCTCACGTCTTTGGAATTATTTCACTATTTTCAGACATTTGGAAGTAAACCAAATAACGCAAAACATCAACGTGGAACCACTGATGTGTTTTATCAAAGTGACTGAGGGATCTGTGCCAATAAGAGTCAAAATTTGCTTTGCTGGATCAATGTAACGCCGAATTGCAAAATATCACCTCGACGATTCGGGATGAAATCTTCACATCTGCTGTTTATTTTTGTCTTCTTCTAGAAGGTGACGGAGGGGAATCCCGCATTGTTCCCCGGGCCGAAGTCATTAGTGGAGACCAACTGTGTCGTAAGCGCCACCTCAAACGCTCGTGTCATGCGGTTAACGGGGGTCGGCTCAACGAGCGCTCCCATCAGGCGGGGTTAGACCCCGCGTTGGCTCCGTGTTGCGGCAGCGCGCCCCTTGGAAATAAAGCGCTCCATCGGAGGGTCTGCGCCGAGCGGCTGCGCGCCGTCGGGTTCGGGTACCCCCCCCCGTGCCAAAGAGGACTTCACCCCCCCCCCCTTCCTAGCCCTCCACCCCCACACACCCTCCACCACCCCCCGAGAGGAAATAACGCCGGCTCTCCTGTCTGCTCGGCTGCATCCAGGCAAAAGGTTAAGCTGCGGAGGTCGTGCAGCGTCAACAAAAAGGACGCAAGTTGGAGATAAAGATGCCAGGACGCGCTGCGAGACGCGGGTAAGTTTCTCTGTCTGGATGAATCACGGTCGGGGGCGGCTTTACCTTTCTTTCTTTTTTTTTTTAATGTCGAATGGATGCATGCGTTTTTATTTTAAACGCACGGAATTTAATACACCGGAGAAAAAAAAGTTCCTTTGACACGGAGATGTCCCCGTCAGAGCCGCCGTGTGGCGGGCTGACTCGGTCCGGGGACCGTGAAGTGAGTCAGGGAATGGCGGGTTTGTTTTTGGGGCGTCTGGAGGTGCAGCGCATCGGACCGTGGGCACTTAAACCTGCAGCCGCCTCAGTCCCAGCATGCTTACACCTCTACTTGTATTAGTTAATTTATTCTGGTGCGTTGTTGGAGACGATTTACATGATGATGATGATGATGATGATGATGATGGCACATACCTGTTGGACACACTGACCGGTGTAAAACTGGCGTATCGTACAGAACAAAAGTGCAGTGATGCATTTTGGACATTTGTTGCTGTGCTTCTTTGCATAAAAGGTGCACTCTGCAAACTGCATCCAGCACGCACATGTATATAAAAAAATCAGTTTTACTCTGCACGTTTCTTTCTTTTTATTTTTGCTCATGACAAAAACATGATGTTTGAGTAAGAGGGAATGGTTTTGCAACGTTGCACAGCAGCACATGCAACAACATAGAAATGCATGAAAACCTACAATGCAACTTGATCCACAAACAGAGAGGATGGCTCTCCTCCTCCACCTCCTCCACCTCCTCCTCCTCGCCCTCCTGCAGCCGGTGGGCTGTGAGGGCTCCACTGGAGGCTCAGAGCACCTGAGAGTCAGCAGGAGGCTCCTCTCTCCTCCTGCAGGCTTCAGCCTCTCCTTTTGGAGAGCTCATTTCATGCCTTCTATGCCTTCCGTGCCTGCAGTTTAAACCCTTTGAAGTTTTCTCACGCTAAAGCCTGTGCATTGAAACTGCTCTCCAGTATGTTAATGTTCTCTGATTGACTCGTGTGTCTTTTTAATTAACCCACTTGTATGCGCGCCGCGGCACTGTCCTCGATGAAACGCCATCAGGGAGAAGCGACGGACTGACATGCTGTCAATGGGGGGGGGGGGGGGGATCTCAAAGTCAATGGCAGTTTGTGCTCAAATGATCGCTGGTTTGATGTCGCCTGCGACTTATTTCTGTTTGAAATCCTCGCTGTGAATGAAACACGGAAAAGTGGTGCTTTATAGGATGCAGTGATTAAGACTTCAGCTTCTGTAATATTAATGACTTTGGAAGATTTCAAAGGATGAACCTCAGAGATGCAGTAGCCTGAAGTAAGCCTACATTAATAATGTGCTTAATTCCATCAGTGAGTCCAGTGTTCCTTCAGCGCTTTCATGTCGAGCTTTGCCCCCAAATCAAAGCCTTTTAATTATTCCATACGTCTATGTTCACGCAGGATTTACATTACTCAGATGTGCACCTTGATTTTTTTTAAAAATACATTTTTTACTTCACTCACTTGTGTCACCCTGGATTTTTTCCAATGTGTGTTTCCCATCACGGGTAGGCGTGGAAGTCGCACGTGAAATGGGGTCAGTCATGTGATTACCACCAACAGTCAGCAGGTGGCAAAACGCTCTCAGGGAAAAGAGGAGATCCATCAGGCCGTGATGTGCGACGCTCTGAAGGGCAGCTCCCTGTCGCCGGAGATGCTCGGCTGGCTTTCCAAGACATCGCTGCCGCTCCTCCGTCTCGTCCCATTTCAGGCTTCTGAGGATGAGACTCGGGCCCTCTTTAAAAAAACAAAAAAAGCAAACAGATTCAACCTTATTACAGCGATAGAAGTATCTTCCCTGCGATGTCACGGATCTTCAGAGGATTCAACTGCACTTGAGAAATAAGGGTTGAATTGTAATTTGTGGGGTGCGCGCGTGTAGTCTGACACTTCAGGTGTTGCTCATGTGTTCTAACACCGGGTTCCCAGACCGGGGGCCCCAAACGCCACATGTCCACTGGCTGTTTGTGATGCGATCGATAACAGACGTGAAGGTCCGCTCTCCAGAGGTGGAGCTTTTTTTGCCCACGTTGTTGAATTACTAAAGACAAACAGTAAAAACAATGATGTAGTTCTGTTCTGTCGAATGTGAGTTAGTGATGTTTTCAAGGTCAACGATTTATTTAACTGTTTAGGCATTTGCACCATTCGCACCACTTCAGTGCGATATTACCATAAGTCCCATATTGGTCCCTCTACTATGTAGCCTGTGTCACGTAAAATGGCTCAGTGTCAAAATGTTGTCATGTGACCACATTATATCATAGAAAATGTAATTTATTAAGTCCCTAACGTTTTGTTTGAATTAAGATCACATAAGCTATAAAATGTACTAAATTCCAATGTTACAGTTGGTTACATAAAAGACAGACTTACAGGTTTGGAAACACAATACGTTTTAATTGAAAAAAGTTCAATTAAAATTGAGATTAATTTAAATATTAAGTGTATACATTACAATAAAATGGTCAATGATCTGTAAGTATGAACTCCAAATGCTGTATAATAACTTTTGAAGAGTTAGACTACCTGTCACATGTTCCCCTCCACACGTCTCGAGATGACGTCACGTCACAAAGACGTGGAGTGAACTTGCATCTAATGATGAATACGTGTTACAGGCTGTTATTTACAGCGCTACATCGGAGCGATTTGGATTCTGACCTCCCCGCATACCGGGGATTGAAACCCCGGCAATGTCTGTGCCTTGCTCCAGGGAATGGAACCCCAAACCACGGCAGTGTCAGCACATTCTTCTGAAGCAGAGGGCTGAGAACTCTTCAGCTCATTTTAGATGAGTTATATATTATATATATACATATATATATATATAGCCTGCTGGCTAACAGCGTCAGCTCTGTTAGCCTGCTGGTAGCAGCTAGCGACTAGCTAATAGACGCAAGCGGGCAGCTCAGTCGTTAGTTGGGATGTTGAGACATGTGGAGGCTTTTGAGTATATATTTCAGATTACCAGAATTAACATTAACTGCCTTTTCAACCCCCTGTTTTTCTAAATGTGTGCAATGATTTTAATTTGGGGTATTGATAAATACCGGCATGTTTAAACTACTCATTGACTCCGACGTTCACTTGTTCACTCCAATGTGTTTCAGGTCATTTGGGGGTTTTGACGTTTACATTTGGACCTGTTTTTTGAAATGTTTAAATTGCTTGAGGTCTTACACATTAAACACATTTCTGACACATTTTCATAAATGTTTATATATATCACTTTACTTTACATGTTAAGCTAACGGACGCTAACGTGCTCTGTACTTTAGCAAGCTGAAACAAAGCGAGCTATAAAAATTCCATCCACTTTCCACGTGGAAATGCAGCTCTTGATAAGGATTTCACCAGCAGCAGCCTGCTGCACTGTCGATCTCGCTATCACATCGTCTACCACAAGCGATGGCATAATTAAACACATATGGCGAGGTGTAGCTCTAAATGAGTAAGATGGACCGTGAAATGCGAGAGTCAGGGAGTGGAGGGGTGGGAAAAGGGAAGACAAGATTATAGAGAAGCCTTTGATGCCGAGTCTGGCTATGGGAATCCTAGTGTGCCTTCAGGGGAAAGCTCCTCTCACACAACATCAATAATGAATGAAAGATATCTCGTTCACTGGAAGACTGCACTTAACCGGCATACAGATTTGTTGCCATGGACCTTATGTAAAAATTGCATTAACGTGTTTGCTCTGCTTCATTAGCCGGATGAGGAGCAGCCAGTGATGACAATAGAGGCCGGGGAGTTTGAACAATAACCCAGAAAAGGAAATTCTGCGTGCGTCTTATTTGAACCAAATCCCATCGCTTCGAATCGTTTCCCAACTGATGAAGCGTGAACTCGTTTTTCATGGCAAAGTATACGGCGGTGCACGTAGAAAAAAGTTATTTTTTCACTTCATTCACATATGCAGCAGGACAAAAAACTGCAAAGAACAGTAATGAAACAGAAGAGTTCAGTAAAAATATAACCTTTGAAATGAAACCACGCCCACATAAACCAACAACAATCCCAAGCAGGGCTTAAATCACTCCAACATAAGAATAGAAAAATCAAGGGACGGACGGTACTTCGTAAAGTATTTTCCTACTTAATCAGTATGCATTGATTTTTGGATTCTTCAAAATAAATAAAGATACAGTGTGATACTTCTGTCCTGGACTTCCCGTCATCACGAGGATTACAGACCCGGCCTTTATTTCCTCATTTTCCCTTGTGGCGTCGGCTCCTGTGTCCTTGTACACGCAGGACGCATAGGGGAGTAATCAAGAGTGCAGGACGTTAGGCTTAAAGGTTAAAGGTCAAGGCAAGAAAGAGTAGACGGCATAGAAAGTGTAACGTGATGGGTATTGTATCTTTTTTCTTTTTTTCTACCATTAAATACCACGACTAGACCCAAACCCACAGTGAATGTTCTCTTCTTTTACTATTGCGTGTGGCTCAAAGCCTGATAAACCTTGTTCCTCTGTGCCAAGGAGCTCCATTGTTGTCCAAAAACTATTAAAAACCCATCAATGAGCAGCACTGGGGGACCTGTTCCTTCTTTCCCATGACCAAACACTCATTACAGCACCAAATATGGATTAATCCACAGTTCCGGACTAATGAACTATGTCCTGCTGTTGAAGTCTTGTTTGTTACTGCAGTGAACAGCTGTTTGAGGAAACATTAATATGTTCATGTCACAAAAATCCCCAAATCTAAAATTCAGTACTTTTCTTTAAAAAATATGTGTTGCTATAAATTAGTGGCACACACACATAACAGACAGCACAAAACTCCTCACCTCATATTTAACCTTCTACAGTAACTACACCTTGTTTAACTACATCCACGGGTGGAGTGACGCCACGGTCCGGCGAGTGGGAGGAGTCACAGAGACAGAAACAGAGTATTGATCCACCTTAATTTGATCATTAATCTCATGTAAAAAGACACACGATCAGTTGGATTTACTTCTTTTTTTTTTTCACGTGCATC